CTCATGTCTAGGGGAGTGCTTCCTCCGTGTGGGCTGCTCAGCGACTTCTTTCTCTTCCTTGGGTTTCTGGCGACAATCCAATTATCGCCATCTTCCTCTGGTGCCCCCTTTTCCTCTCGACTGCCCGACTCACTCATGAGGTCGTACACCGGGCTCGTGAAACATTCCTCCAGGAACGTTCCCGATTCCGATCCACTTTCGCTGGTGTTCCTTCCTTCCTTCTCTATCGGTGAGTAGAAAACTTCCAGGTCCTTCATACTTGATGGTTGTCTCACTGGGGATCTGCCTAGCGAAGATCTCCTCAGTGATGGGTCCTTCACGTTCTCCCAATTGTACTCTTTTTTCCCATGTCCCTCTATCGTATCCTCCTTCTCATTTTTGTTTAAGTTGTCCATATTTGTCCCACGAGTAGCTAGGGAAGTCTTCGGTCGACCGGCACAGAGCCCCGCTTGTGCCGGCAAGGCTTCTTACTCCAGGAGGTTGCCGGTTTCCTGGAGGCTCCGTTCTTGGCCAACTGTCGCATGGCCATTCACCCCTCAGCACGGGTCGCGTAACACCTTGGGTTTCGGATTTTTGGAAGGGTTCACTCCCTGGGAGTTGAAAAGAGAAAGTCGAAGAAAGCAAGAGTTGGCCAAGGAAGGCCGAAGAGAGCAAGAGTTGGCCGAGGGTGGCCTATAGGATAGGAGGAAAAGAAGAAATTTAGGAACCTCGCCCCAGACTAGTTGAAGAAAGGGAGGTTCGGCTAGGATTTCCAGGAGTCGCCGCCTCCTACACTCATCATAATGAGCCCTTACAGAGTTTATTTTATCGAGGTTGACTCCTCTAGATCCGAAGTGTTCTGTAAGAGACAGGCCGACCTCGAGTAGGATGTACTCCAGGTGGAGCACGCACTACGGTCTTGCTAGCGTAGAGGCTTTATTTTGCGCATATCGCTAGCCTGGGCGAAGCCCTTCGGCCCAACCTAACCTAACCTAACCTAACCTAACCTAACCTAACCTAACCTAACCTAACCTAACCTAACCTAACCTAACCTAACCTAACCTAACCTAACCTAACCTAACCTAACCTAACCTAACCTAACCTAACCTAACCTAACCTAACCTAACCTAACCTAACCTAACCTAACCTAACCTAACCTAACCTAACCTAACCTAACCTAACCTAACCTAACCTAACCTAACCTAACCTAACC